ACAACTCGACAACGAAAGCTTTTCATCTGTTAGGCCGAAAGTCATAAAGCCTGTTGTAGGTCAAGTGGAAAGTTTATATAGTTAGACAAGTGAATGTGTTTAATGATGGTGCCAGACTAGCTGTGCTACTGAATATCATAATATTAGCTCTCATTTTTCAGTTCATATAGAACTTTATTATGGGAGCCAGAGTCTAAAGATATTGCGAAAGCCTGAGCATAGGGACGTTGCAGCCTGCAAGCCACATCGCCGAAGTCCTTCAATCTTCTAAAGACCCAAACCTGAACAAAGCCATTTACTCCTCCATCGACAAGGGGACCACCCTGTTCAAGTTTGTTTGCTCACTTGCAAACCAAGCTAACTTCCAGATAACTAGACATTCTTATTTCAAGGTTCTAAGTTTATGGCAGCTGTACTTGTTAAAACGCAAAAATCTGGCAACAAATGTAGGCTGTCTTTTGAAAATGGGATGCTAAATTCCGAGGTTCATTCGAAAAGAGCTTTTATGAGTATTGCATTTATCATTGCCTTTTCAAATATCGTTATTGCTATCGTAGATATAAAGACTAAGATGATGAGGTTTTGGGTTTAATTGCAGTCTCTAGCATTATAAATTCGGTTTGCTTGCCTTGCTCATCTTTCGCAAATTCAGCCTCATCCAGCCTAGCACAGAACTCCAGCTTATTAGACAACTCAATTGAAGTCCTAGAGGAGGACCTCAAGTCTCCTCCACCAGCACACCCCCTGCTTATTCGGCATCGCGTGGCCAGCGAAAGCTCTTCCTCTCTTGTAGGTGACAGTGCAGCTGTTGCTGCCGGATACCTTGGTGTATACAGAGGGGGTGGCTGCTCACCTAATACGACCCAACCACCCGACTCTCCTGGACCGTTCCATTCTGCTGCCACCAGTTCCGTGACTTCTGTTATTAGTGCTGGGTGTGAAGAAGAATTCTCATTGTCCGACTCAAGTCCATTTGATTGGGCAACTGGAGCTTCGGATCGAGAGCATGAGCTGGAGCCTGATGGACCTTTGCTATTACATTCACACCAGCAACTTCAGCATCATCCATACTCGCCAATTAGGTTTGCCAGAGCCAGAAAGCGGGAAATTCGGCTGCACGGGGCCTCGTCACCAACGGGTACATTTTCGCCTCCTCTAAGTCCTTCCTCTGCTGGCCTCGCCTGCTCGTTTTCCTCACCATGGACCGTTTCTTCTAGTCCTTTGGCAAGGGAACGCCTCAACGACAATGCCTCTGGTTCCTGTTCACTCCGGGAGTTTTCTAGAACTACGGCTATGGGTGGAGGGGGAAGCGGTGGAGTCACTTGTGCTAGGGGGCCAAATCAACTTGTACTACGATCAGCTTATCATCCACTTGAAGTGGGCGTTCCACGTTTGCCTTTTGCTAGTCCATTCACAATGGCTTCAAGCCTTTCTGGCTCCCGGAACCTATTCAATTTGCGCACTGGCTTGCCACTTCAATCATCGCCAGTAAGTGTCTCTTGGCTAATAAAAAAAGTTATAGTACTGAGAGATAAAGTGAATTTCATCTTTATTTTTCCTTTCCCTTATCCACATGGTAGACTTAAGAGATAATATTATCTTGTTTTTTTGATAAAATAAAATAATGTAATATAATATTACCTTATTGCATTCTATTATGATATTTTGGCATATATATTATTATTTACATTCACTATCTACACAACCTGTCAGCCGTCTTTGAAACGACCATATCATCAAAACAGCAAAGCGAACAAATGGACAAATTATTTTTCGTTTATAATTAGATTTTCGAGATTGTCTGTTGATCATATATATGAGTTTCATTCTCCCTATTTTGTTAAGGTGATGTTGATGTTTTTGTCACTTTCAATTACCAGTCCCTCATCAAAAAACAGCGAATTCACTCATATCAATGCAAATATTGTTTTGTACATTCATTTCATCACAACTATCTGATATCACATTTTTAACAGGATACACAAGATCTTTTGCAATTTGTTTTCATAAACGGGACAGCGCATTTTGTTTCCACTAGTTCATCATCATTTTCATTCGAATCAATTCGGACACTTTATTTGTTAGAATCCTCTATGCTAACAGTCATGATATTGCAGTAATGAGTAACTGACCAGCAAATTATGCGAAATATTTAGAACCGTTTGATGAATTTCTACATCCAAAGCATTTTAATTCACTATCTATTTCATTACCGGACGCTATTTTCTAGATCACCAAGCGTTTAATCCTATTTTGTTTGACAATACCGAAAACTAATGATACCACTAACTAGCTCTAGATGAAGCCATCTAAGCTATTAAATATCTGTTCAATCTATATATTCCCCATCCTGCTTTAGAAAACGAACATGTAACGCTCTTTTATGAGTCAAAACTACCACTATGGTCTAGTATCCACACGAACATACGCGCACACATCCATTAATGTAGCCTCATAGATTGTAATGGACATCAATTAATCAAATTATTCTTAAGCTGGAATTAATTTTTTTGTATTATCCGCTTGGCCAGATTATT